GGATATCTGTGGAAACATGTTGTTTATAATGTAATAAAAGCTTATTAACTATAACAATTAGCACATTATTAATTTTTGTTCAATATTACTTATACAATTATACGAACAACAAATAAGGAAACAGAAATCACTTTATTTCATATTTGCACTAAATACGACATAATAATTATATTTTGTTAAAATATACATTATGTATATGTACATGTATATATTTTAACCTATGATGCATAGTTTTATACATACTTGAAACAAATTATGATTTTTCGTACATCATATTTTGACTACATTTTTAAAATTTTAACCAATATATAACACATAGAAGAAAATTCATTAAGGTACTTAAATAAAATATTATATCAAAATAAATTGAGAAATATACAGTATATATCAATTGAATTTTTTATAATTAATATGTATCATTTGTAATATTGACATCTTGAAAAAACATTTTATCAAGTATTTCTCGACCTCGCCTGTAATATCACCAACGGCAATTTGACACCTTCATTGTTTTCCCTTCTTTATCTAACTGGTCAGCAGTTTTCGATAATCCTTCTTTGTTTAACTGGTCAGCAGTTTCCTATATATTCTATATCGTCAGCTAATTCGTCAGCAGTTTAGTGCGACCCCTTCCATGATCGCACCGTTTGTCGGTGAGTTAGTAAATTCTGACCAAGCACCGGTAGACGCACGACAATGCGATACGATATTATTCCAAATGTCGCTTCGCATTGTCGAGAGTCGCTTCGCGTTGTCGAGTATCGCTTCGCGTTGTCGAGTGTAGCTTCGCATTGTCGAGTGTCGCTTCGCAATGTTGAGCGTCGCGGTGTAAAAATCATAAAAATAACGCGACATTTACTCGACATTTTAAAAATGTCGCTTCGCGATGTCGAGTGTCACTTCGCATTGTCGAGCGTCGTATCGCATTGTCGCGTTGTCGTTTCGCATTGTCGAGTGTCGTGGTATGCACTTCTACCAACCTCGACACTCGACAATGCGAAGTGACAATGCGACAACGCGAAGTGACATCGCGACAACGCGAAGTGACATCGCGACAACGCGAAGCGACGCTCGACAATGCGAAGCGACACTCGACAACGCGAAGCGACATTTCTTAAATGTCGCCCTTTTTTACCGCGACATTTCTAGGCGACAGTGCGACATATCGTTTGACACTGTCGAGCGTCGCTTCGCATTGTCGCATATCGCTTCGCGTTGTCGAGCGTCGCTTCGCATTGTCGCGATGTCACTTCGCATTGTCGTGTGTCTACCCTTAGACGCGACGGACGACATTCTAAATGGCACGATAAGGACACCGTAATATTTACTTGTTTTACAACTTTTAGCCTCGTACATGCCCAAATGTCAAATACAATGAATGAATTGTAATGGGTTTTCGTGTGTATATAAATCAGCATAAATTTGTCGTTTAAAACAGTAAAGATTTTTCAATTTACATGAGATATAAATTATCATTAGCCAATATATTAACATTCGTTTTGATAATAAGATGTTTATGAAGTAGAAAAAATAAAAATAAACAAATTAAGGTTTATCCTGGGTAGCTTCAAAATGTAACTACGGAAGCGTGTTTGGGTAAACAATGCACGAAATCTAGAATAAATTGTTATTAATTTTAAAATCATAAATGCATGATATTTATTAAGAGATCATTAGTTTTTGGTATAAAAATGTCATTGTGTATGATAGCTACTATGTTTTCATTTTAATAACATTTGGAAGATAAGAATTGAAAGGTAATACTGAGCGTCAGTGATTTTACTACTTATATAACAGACTCCGAAAAAAGGCCTCTTCCCAATTGAAATTTTCTTTAAAATCATTCAGTTTTCCCAAAAATCTGAACTTAAACAAGCTTTTTTACTTTTTACTTCCCAAATCAGCAATTTTAGCGATAATTTTTCCCAAAATCAACAGGCTAAGGCCTCTTCCCAATAAAGTGAGAAAAATCACTGCGTGATCTACGAGTATATTATCTTTTTTACATACTAGTGATATATGAGATGTCAGGGGAGTCAAAAACAGATACAGAATATACAATGATTATGTAATTTCAAAATTGTTATTGCAAAAAAGGGAGAAAACTTATTTTACAGTCACAGTAAGCAGTTCAAATTGTTATTGAGCTCCATGGTTTAACCAGAGACATGCTATCTGTGTCTCTGGTTTAACTAAATTGTGCCACAAATATTGATGAGGAGCTATATTCGGAGTTAATTGTTGCTTTGCCAGTGGTAATAGATCCCCATTTTGAGTGTTAAATTCGTTGTACAATTTTACAAACACATGAGATAAGATAGTTTCAACACAAACGTAATGAATCAGAGATGTTTGTGCTAATATGGATATCTGTATGTCCATCTACACCGTCTGTCTTTCTGTTTAAAAACATGTCTATCTGCCTTTCTGTCCGTCTGGCTCTCTGTTTTTTGTCTTTACCAAAAAATAAAATTTGATAGTTGTAAAACTTGATTCTGAGATACTGTTAACATCTGCCTGTCTTTAATAGGGTTTGTCTATCTGTTTGCTTTCCTTTCCTTATGCTGTCCGTCCTATATATTTATGAAAACTACAGCATATGGTCTGCGAATCATATTGAAAGTATTGGCCTAAACGAACAGACAACTCATTTATATGAAGTGATTGATAAATAGTTCGGGTGCTTTTTTTGATAAGCCAAAAATGAAAGCCATGTCATACCTACAACCATGTGACCACAGGGGAAATGCCTCCTTTTATTTAATTCTGTTTCTCTCGTCAATAACAGTTACAGATGTAATTTAAATATCTGGTAAAAAAGTGATCCCATAGATGCATTAAAAAGCAAATTTACATGAAAATTGCAGAGCCGGTTTGATTGAGTCTGTATATGACGGATAATGAAAAAGAGCAACATCCCTCATGCCCCCTAGCACCGGATTGAGCGGTACTAAATACTCAACACTTAAAAGTGCTGGATGCAATGATCCCGAAAGACCAGAAAAATATAACAACACTGAAGTGAAGTACGGGGTAACTTTTTACGGCTGCCACACAGCACTTCACATCTGCTGTTGTGATGTATAAATATCTGGTAAAATAAGTGATCCCTCAGAAGCATTAAAAACAGCAAATTTACTAAAAAGTACAGGCATGGTTTGATTGAGTCTGTGATCATGAAAGCTGTATTTGACATTGAACATATATTTTGCTCTATATTGCAACCAAATTTATGCATTTCTCTGAATAGGACTCCACTTTTTGTGTAAAATTTATTTGATGAATAGTATTATTTTTTTAAGACCAGACAATGTTTTTTTTGTAATCTCTTTTTAATTCCATTTTAGATGACTTGATTTAAAGCCGAAATGATAGAAACGAGTATTGTTATCATTACGTCGAGAAGAGAAAACTGCAAGAGACCATACCATAATATGATTAGAAGTTCAGAAACAAGAAAAAAATGTTAAACGTATATTTATTTAAGACAATAACTGTGTAAGTTGCAGAAAGAACATAAATTTCGTGGCGATGTTGTCAGAAAAGTTGAAACCTTCGACTTTCATGTTTAAATCAAGTCTTTGTGTAAAACAAGACACTTTAAGCGTGAAGTAAGGTCCAAGGAAGAATCAAAGGCGTAAATGGCCTCCTGACAGCTAAATTACGTTACCACCATTGTTGTAACAGTAACAGTCATTTCAAGGCGTCCTTTTCATGAAAAGTGCAAAAACAGCAGGAGAAAGCTTTTTAACCATTATGCAATACTTTGAAAGTTATTGAAAGGATAACTTTTTTTTAAATGTGACTAGGTGTAGTCGAACTAATGAGCATTATGAGAGACATATAGATGTGGAGATCACTTTTAAATATCTCTTTATATCATAAGGAAGAAAACATAAATAGGTTAAACAAGATGTGATGGCATTCAGTTTCAAAGGTGAAATATTTTTTTAAAGCAACCTAAATGATACATGACATAAAAGTGGCATTTTGTACATATAAAATTCTAATTTTGAACCATTACTAAAGACATAACTACAGCTCATTTTCAGCATTCATTCTTCACTAAATTACGTGTTGTGCAATATATATATATATATATATATGGACAATACTGGCGATGATAAATGAAGTTATTTCGACTAAATCATGTTAAAAGTGATAGTTTGCATAACATTTATGGGTAATATTTGGATGGATGAGACTTTGGTAACGTACAAATATGTTAAATGACACAGCATAAGACTAAATAACAAGTTACTTTCAGAAATTGAGTATATTACCAGGTGCATTGTTTGTTCCTACGGATTTTAGGAAAAATAACTAAGTTTGTTTTCTTTATTTTCATAAATTTTTCAAAAATAGTTAAAAAATGCTAGAATAATGTCAATGTAATTGATGTAACGTATGTTACATTTTGCTTTTAAAATGTCTTAAGTGATTATGTTTCCTTATTAATATAAGCTTATGTGATATAAATATTATTTTAACCTCTTTTCAATTGTAAATATTAGGTATCTTTAAGATAATGAACGTTTTGCATTATTATTATGAGTGGGTGGGGTAATAATCTTGTGTGTCACAAGTGAAAAAAATAATAAAAAAAGAGGCCAAACCTGTTATTATTCATTGCAAATACTATTTTTATGAACACCAATACATGCTGGCAAAAAACTACAAATCTATAACAGGGAAAGACAAGACAGTCGCCACATATTAAACATATTACGATATTATATTACGAATTTTATGCCTGGACAGGTACTCGTAAACTACCTGCCAAAAGTCAAGTTTCCGAAGTTATATTTTTTTAGGGTTTTACTACAAGGTCCATGCATATATATTGATTGCAAAATACTAAAGAAAGCTTGTGTTGCAATTTGTTTGATGTCAAGCTACATATACTCATAACTTTAGTGGCCTATGCATCGTGTGATTACAAAAGAAAAGGGAGCAATTGTTTATATTTTAATGGTCTGCTAGGGTTGCGAATGATAGTATTTAGTATTACCCATCACTTTTTTCGTAATGTTAATTTCCCATAGGCCTCTGGGAGTTATTGTTACTGTTAATGCATGTGTACCACGTGACTAAGAATTTTGTACTGTTACATAGGTAACAGTATTTTTTAACAGCATAAAATCTGGTCACTCACGTGGTCTATTTTCTAAATAAAATGAAATAAAATGGCCGCCATTTTTCTCTCCATTCATTCTTATTTTCGACGATAGGGCCTAGGGCATCACCAAAGTTACTATGACTCTCATAAAATTCAGTTCTTTGCACCCTACTGTAGAGTTCTTTTCGCGTATAAAATATCTTTTTGTTGAATAGTCAAAAAGTAAACAACTGAAGTATCGATAATTGTAGTGTGAAACTGGAACATGCAGACGATTAAAGCATGCAAGAAAGGATTATTTAACAATTTTAACCAGTGAAACGTTACAGATATAGTTGGTGGACAGACACCTATCATCGTTATTCACCGTGGGTAAGCAATTTTGGTCACGTGACCCCAAAAGTCAACGTACACGGCCAAAATGAGCCAAAATAGCTCGGCTAAGGTAAGTTTTTTTGTAATTATTTTTCTATCGAGTCATTTTAAATAATGCTACATGGCCTACCGACCGCGGCATTTCCGATGCTTTCTAAATATGCATTTGGTGTCGTGTAACGTTTTGTATTTTCTGAGAACATTCCAACATTATTCACAAATTTGTCGATGACAACGTGCACACTTTTGTGTAAAAATGTTGATAATAACATTATAAACGATACGCATGTCAGTGCTAAGGAAAATTTCACGTTTTGAAATGTATAAGAGAATGTTTGAATGTAAAAAGAATAGATTTCCTGCTGTCGTTTTTTCGTATTGATCTAAAAATGTTCAACTTACAGAAATGTCAACGTACACATTCAGTCAAGAAAATGTCAACGTACACACTCAAAATTTAGTTTAATATTGATCCAAACATTACATTGAATCTTTGGTGTAGGTGGCTTTTTACAAACAAAAGTTGGCCTTTTATGTAGACTGCCCTCTCGTACTGTATACCAGTACTGGTTTATACAAAAGAAACAGTTTTGAGTGCATTTATTTCATCGCAGATACGCTTAAACAAGCTTTAACTTTTTAATGTTATTTATTTGTTATTTTCTTTTTCAGACAAAAATATTTGGAGATACTCACACTTATAAATGATTTGCTGAACAACCACATTCTGAACAAGGTTTGTATATATTTTAGACTGTATTAATATAGATAATATTACAGTAATTTAATTACGTAAAAGCGAGGATAAGCGACTAGCGGCTTCCGTAGCATCAAAAGGGTCGAAAGATTGACAATGAAACCGGGTTACAATTTACTGACTTTTAAATTGAATATGTTTGGGTTTTTTTAATTAAAGAATTTGTTTGCAAATTTGAAACACATGACGTATTCATTTGATGTCATTTAGTGTATAATTATTTCATAAATTGTTTACAATCAGCTTCAGAATCTGCCTCTTGTGTAAAACATCAAACTAAAGTTCTAATAATTATGGAGGTTTTAAGACCATTGTCTTATGAGCATTTATACAGTGAACAAAACATAAAGACATTATCACTAACTAAAAGCACATAACCACTCAATACTGAGAACATGCACATAATCTTAAAGAGTGTATATCCTCTAATACTTTATTTTTGACATGTCTAATTTTACTAGTGAATTTAATGCTTTTGCAGGGATCATCCATTTGATAGCGAAGAACGGGCATGCACCGATAAAAGGGCAATATACGGAACAGTGTCCACAAACAGAAATGCAGTACAGAAAGGAAGTCTCGGGGTGCGATGGGAGGGAGCTCGTAGAAATGAGTTTAAAATACTTTTAAGTGACAAAATGGGACTTACTTGAATAACTTCAAATTGCATTGTAGCCCAATAATATGTTATTTCTTTGGGATTTATTTGCGGTTATTTAGCTACAAAAATGTCTTGTCTAAAGTAATATATTATTGTAAAGAAAATAAAATCTTGTTCTTTTAACTTTTTATTGAAACCAGTTCTTACTGCATAAATAACTATAATTATGTAAATAAAATAAATTTTATCATCATAACCATCAGCGCTGACGTTTACGTTTAAAACTTTTAGACACACACACGCACGCACGTACGCACATACATATATCATATTGACATAGACTATGAACACACACATATATATATTGACATAGACTATGAACATTTGAAATTCAAGCAAAATCATTTGTTATATAAAATCATACTTAAAATATAATATATAACAAATAATTTTGCTTGAAGTTCAAATGTTCAATGCAGACGCTGATACATAATCACAGACAATTTGATAAAGGTGTAAAAATAACATAAAAATGTAAATAAAATGAAATAGAAAAACAGATCGGTGAAATAATACTGGATTTCGAGATACAACATGCTAATTAGCATAAATAATAACGAAATGACCATTATTATTATATTATTATTATTGTTATTCTGTACTGTAAATGCACTTTGTCAAAAACCATGCGAAGAATATTCTGGATACAGAAGGATCATATTTCACAGATCATAACCTTATAAATGTGTTAGTGTTTTGTTTTCTAAATAAAACACAGCTTAATTATTGTATGTTTATGACTGGTAGATATCATCACTTGCTTAAAGAATAAAAGAAAAACAGCTTCTCAAGTAGGCCTACAGTACACTTAAAACTTGCAAGGTAAGAACAGTTTAGTTATTGCTACTCTTGGTTTATTTTTGTTATCCCCCGCCGAAAAGGCGGCGGGGAATATAGAAATAGTCTCCGTCCGTCCGTCCTTCCTTCCGCATATCTCAAAAAGTATTTGAGGTATCAACTTGAAACTTCATAGGTGGATGGATCTCATTAAGGAGGAGTGCAGTGCACAAGAATGATAACTCTACAGTACCCTGCATAAATTTTGAGTACTTGCCCTTTGTTATTTTTCAAAATTAATTTTTGTCCAGAGCATAACTCAAAAAGCCTTTGAGATATGCAACTTCATAGGTGCATAGATCTCACTCAGGAGGTGTGCAGTGCACACGAATGTTAACTCTACCTTTCATCATTTTTGAGTTATTGCCCTTTGTTATGTTTCATACTTATTTTTTCACCTGAGTGGAGCATAACTCAAAAAGTGTTTGAGATGTCAACATGAAATGTCATAGGTGGATAGATCTTATTGAGGAATGCTGTGCACAAGAATGATAACTCTTCGCTATATAATTTTTGAGTTATTGCCCTTGTCCTTTTTAGTCCCCTACCGGTTTACCGGAGGGGTGTTTAGGTTTACCCTCCGTCCGTCCGTCTGTCCGTCCGTCTGTCTGTCAGTCCGTCCGTCCGTCCACAAAACTGGATCCCGCGATAACTTGAAAAGTACTGAAAATATTTTTATGACACTTGATATATGGATAGATGGCAGTATGGAGATTATGCACGTCTTTTTCTTTTCTTCCTATGTTGAAAATTCTGGTTGCTATGGCAACAAATAGGCTGAAAATATGGCAAATTTTACACATAAACTGGATCCAGTGATAACGCAAAAAGTACTGGAAATATTTTTATGAAACTTGAAACATGGGTAGATGGTAGTCTGGAGATTATGCACGTCTTTTTCTTTTCTTCCTATGTTGAAAATTCTGGTTGCTATGGCAACAAATAGACTGAAAATATGGCAATTTTTACACATTAACAGGATCCAGTGATAACGCAAAAAGTAATAGAAGTATTTTTATGAAACTTGTAATATGTGTAGATATGGCAGTCTGGAGATTATGCACATCTTTTTCTTTTCTTCCTATGTTGAAAATTCTGGTTGCTATGGCAACACATAGACTGAAAATATGGCAAATTTTACACATAAACTGAATCCAGTGATAACTCAAAAAGTACTGGAAATATTTTTATGAAACTTGACATATGGGTAGATGGCAGTCTTGAGATTATGCATGTCTTATCTGTCCTTCTTATTTTGAAAAAATATTGGTTGCCTTGGCAACAAATAGGCTTAAAACATGGCAAATATAACAATATTTGTGATTAGTCAAAAAGAGCTGAAAATTTTTATGAAATTGCATCTTTAATTCAAGAGTTATCTCCTCTTTAAGAATTTTGCTTTTTAAAATGTTATATTTTGGTAACAGGGATGTTTCAAATATTAAATTTAGAGTGTCCTTCAGTCCGTCTGTCTGTCTGTTCAACAAAACTGTTTCCTGTCATCACTTTTAAAGAACTTTTCCAACTTTACTTAAAATAGAGAAAAATAAAAACATTAGTGAATGGCCAATGGCCCTTCAGAATGTTGATGGGGTTCCATCCGGTAGGGGACTTATGGATTTCTTGCAATACTATGATAATTGCTTGTTCATACTATTTTGTCCGGAGCTTATCTCAAAAAGTATTTGAGGTATCAACTTATCAAGGTGAATGGATATCATTGAGGAGAAGTGCAGTGAACAAGAATGATAACTCTACCCTGCATATATTTTGAGTTATTGCCCTTTGTTATTTTTCAAAAATAATTTTTGTCCAGAGCGTAACTCAAAAGGCCTCTGAGATATCAACATGAAACTTCATAGGTGGATAGATCTCACTCAGGAGAAGTGCAGTGCATAAGAATGATAACTCTACCTTTCATAATTTTTTAGTTATTGCCCTTTGTTTTTTTCATACTTAATTTTTCACCTGAGTGGAGCATAACTCAAAAGTGTTTGAGATGTCGACATGAAATGTCATAGGTGGATAGATCTTATTGAGGAGGAATGCTGTGCGCAAGAATGATAACTCTTCCCTATATAATTTTTGAGATATTGCCCTTTGTTCTTTTTCATACTATTTTGTCCGGAGCTCATCTCAAAAAGTATTTGAGGTATCAACTTGAAACTTCATAATAACCTACCCTGCATTATTTTTCAGTTATTGCCCTTTGTTTTTTCCAGCCATCAGTATTCACATAGGTTTCAAATCTGTAATCACGTCAGCCATAAGTTTTCATTACCAAAATACCTCTTAAAATTGAATTATTCTGCTCTACTGCATATGCATTCTTCCAGTGAGCAAACCCATTCTGCGGGGGATGGCCATGTTGACATGGCTCTTGTTACAGTTAGATTTAGTTGACAATTTCAGATCATCACAGTATTTGTTTGGAGAAATAAAATAAATAACACATGGGTTTGTGTATGCCTCGGGTAACAGTATTTTCCTCGGGATGATATTTTTACTGTTACCCACAAATCCATGTGTTATTTATATACTAATGCGAATATATAAATGTTTGTGTGTTGTGTAATATTTGTTTTGTTTGCTAGTTTGTTTGTTTGATTCAGGAAAAGCATGGTTCCTACTTGTGCATGCTTCTAAATAGTTTCGTTTTGTTTGTTTGTTATAAATCCGTTCTGAAAAATACGGTTCCTACTTGTGCATGTTAATTGTTTAGTTTTGTAGATGTAGTACTATTTTTTTCCTGTTTTTGTTGAGTTTTTTTTTACAAAACAGAAAGAAATTAGAACAGTCCGATATGAACAGGCAATCGCAACTTTTCGGCCATTTCCGTCAGTCTTCGGATAAGGACCAAAATAGTATGAATACACAGAACGGATCATACGGTATTTCGGTCTAACCTACGCTAAGAAACTAAATAGGTAAACAATTAGTAATTTAATGCTGTGAGTTGTTGACAAGTTTTTTTTACCAATATATCAAGTAAAAGATGTTCGTGAAGTTGGCAGCCTAGCAGCCTGAAATTGGCAGCCTAGCAGCCTGAAATTTGCAGCCTAGCAGCCTGAAGTTGGCAGCCTAGCAGCCTCAAGAAAACTAAGAATTAGTACAAACATGAAAACCGTCGGAGATATAATAGTAACACTTCTTTAGATTATTCCACGCCTTTTTCAATATCGTGATCTTTATTTTTTAAGGTGTTAAACTTTATCTTAACATAATTTTTTCATTCTGATGCTTCGAAATTTATTAAGTTAGCAGCCTAGCAGGATAATACAAACATGAAAACCGTCGGAAATGAATCGGAAGCACATATTTAGTCCATTTCCACGTCTTATTTCAGTATCGCGATCTTTATCTTCTTTTTAAATATTGAACTTTAATTATTTTTTTTTGACACTTAGCAGCCTAGCAGCCTGGCAGCCTAACAACCTAAAGAAAACTAAGGATAATACAAACATGAAAACCGTCGGAGATGAGTCGGTTGCACATACTTAGACTATTCCACGTCTTTTTTCACTATCGCGAACTTTATTTTTTTAAATATTGAACTTTGTTGTTTTTTTTTTTGACACTTCGAAATTTGTGAAGTTAGCACCCTGGCAGCCTAGCAGCCTAAAGAAAACTAAGAAAATACATTAGTAACACTTCTTAAGATCATTCCACGCCTTTTTCAATATCATGATCTTTATTTTTTAAGATGATGAACTTTATCTTACCACAATTTTTTCATTCTGACGCTTCGAAATTTATTAAGTTAGCAGCCTAGCAGGATAGTACAAACATGAAAACCGTCGGAAATGAATCGGTAGCACATACTTAGTCCATTCCACGTCTTATTTCAGTATTGCGTACTTTATTTTTTTTTTAAATATTGAACTTTGTTTGTTTGTTGTTTTTTTTTTTGTGTGTTTTTTTTACTCTTCGAAATTTGTGACGTTAGCAGCCTAGCAGCCTAGCAGCCGAAAGAAAACTAAGGATACTAGTAATACAAACATGAAAACCGTCGGAAATGAATCGGTAGCACATATCAAGTCCATTTCCACGTCTTTTTTTCAGTATCGCGTACTTTATTTTTTTTTTTAAATATTGAACTTGTTTTTTGTATTTTCTGATCGTAAGATCAGTAAATACATAGCTAACATCCACGGTCTAACACAAAATTTCCTCACAGTCCTAACAACGCAAAGTAGTTCTCACTCAAAACTGCTTAAAAACCAGCAATTTAAAAGAAAGAATAATTTTTAATGTAGGCATTTAACGAATTACAGTG